CAGTGATTGTTGTTCCATAAAGCTGTGTCTATATATATTTTCATTTGTTTCAATTCTATTGATTTAAAACAATTTTCTTGTATTTTTATGATTTTTGTTCATATTAATTTATAAGTAGAATATTTGATGCATTATTTCTTGAAAATGAATAGCAAAAGTAAGCTCTCTATTCTGTGACAATAAATCAATGCATGAGGGCTTAAATGGAATGGAAAAAAATTACAAATATACTTTTCTTTGGAGTCCTTTACTATGTAACTTTTACTCTCGATTTTGCCTTGCCTTGGACCAGATCTTTATTGATGGAATTGTCTTGCATGTACCCATTTTTATATGATAATAAAACTGAGAAAGTACTTACTCTTCACACCCACCCACAACAGCAACTCTACCACTTTGACCTTTGTGTTGATGATGTGTCATTGGTGGAATAAACGATTTAATCATATCAACTAGTGAACCTGATGTGGCTTGGGCTGCTAGTGTATATTTCTTCTTACCAACATTTACTACAATAAATAACATGGTAAAATAAACATAGTGTAAGCTTACATAAAAACAATATTAGCTTTTATTCTTTTATTAAGTCACATTTGCCAATTACTTTGAATTGAAAAATCAAATCCAAAATAGACCTTAGACTCATGGGTTATAGACCCATCAGACAAAATTCTATTCTAAATGTTGTGGTCAAAGTGAATGGTCAAGGCCTTATATATTGTGTCAGACATTTTCAGATTTCTTGTAATGTAATTTTGTAAACATAACATATACTAATAATATATAAAAATGTTTCTAATAAAATCTTTAAGCTGAAACTGTACAGGGATAACAACATTTTGTAACATTAATACTAAAAAGCCTAATACACAGTCATTGCTGATCTTCTGGGTCCATCTTGGTAATTTGGAACAATTAGACAAACCACAGTTGTCAGATAAATTGCCTTTAAATGGGCCACACAGCGAGAAATCTAAAGACAACAAAAAATGTTATTACCTGGAGCAGCTAATCTACTTCTACTCATCGCATGTATTATAACACTAAAGACCGACAACATTTTGATAATATGAGTTTAGTTTATTTCGTGTAAGTTTTACTTCCGAAATAGTATGGTGCGTCTTCGAATGCAATGTTACCTCATATTACCATTTTTGCTGATTAAATCCTACTAACTTATGTATAAGGGCCACAACTCCAATTTTCAAATAAGTGTGCAAATTAAATATCTGATATTTTCTATTATGTGAAATAAATATATGGAAATAAGTTTTTTTGTGGGACATCCTAAGGTATTTAGGTTACAGTCTTTGAAATATCATGAAATCATTTAAAGTCAATTTTTAATGTCATTTTTTTGTTCCTTGTAACAAACAACCCCGTTGTCCTTACAGTGCTATTTATCAGTTTATGTATTTATTCTTTGACATTTATGCAGTTGTTCATCTCTGTATATGTCCACGAGGCCAAATGTTGCTAAATTTATTTAATGCGGCAATTTTTTCTTGATATCTGGCCTTTCAAGTCTCATGAAAGATTTGATTGTGGCCATGCTCTCCAGTTATTCCCTCTAATAATTGCCAAGTTCTGAAAAGAATGTTAATTTTGTAAGCAGTTTATTCACAATTAACAAAAAAGCTTGATTATATTACAAAATTATATATTATCACTTTTCTTCTGTAATAAAATGAAAAAGAATATGTATAGCATATGGCTTGCTCGGTGTCATTCTTAGTTCATCTATGCAATCAATCAGATTTTAATTTAGTAGTGAAATAAAAATTGGAAGTATGTTTGGAAGTATGTACAGAACAAACGAAGAACAGTTTATGAAATATATTTATATATACACGAGTGCAATCGCCCTATCGCCACATATTACTAAACCAACATTCAGACGACAAAATTGAACTACTTGGGAATAACAGGGGCCTCGTATCCCGAAATAGTGGTCGGATGCACATTTGCACTTGGTACAGGCTTGGATAATGGATCATATTCTATCAAAGCAGAGAGCGGACGGTTGATCTGATTCTCATAATGGCCAATGGGTGAATACAGATTATCAACCGCTACATTCGATTTGGTTGCCAATGCTGCCCTGGCTGTCCATGATCTTTGACTCGGAGTTCTGGTCACTCGTTTCCGTTCGATTTCCACTTTGGCAGTTTCTGTATCATTGGAAGAAATCGATTCAGATGTAGATGCAGATCTTTTATAGCTAACACCAGTGCCTCGACGGATGTGGTTTACAGATACTGCCACCGAGAGGCTTTCACTTTGACTCCGATTTCTCCGATGTTTGAAAATAAACATCAATAAAGCAACGAAACAGACGATAGTCCCGATGATAGCCAATAGAATATACAGTAATGTGTGCACATGGTTTGTCTTCAGTTCTAAAATAAACAAACAAACGTACATGATAAGCGAAATTATTTATATTGGAGACGACATTAATCAGATATTGGTTATCCAGATTTGAATTATATTGAGGAGAATGCTAATAATGTCCGAATTATTGAGAGCAATTAAACTGTCGACACTTTCAAAGCTTACAACAGTAACCTTTTCAATCTGCAAAGAATATATTACATTCTCTGCTTAAGCAAATAACTATACAGGATGACTATCCGTTTACGATAGCCTTATGAAAAAAAGTTACCCATGGTTTCCTTTCCTTTTTCTTTTATTTCGTAAACTTGGACTTTCACATCATCTGAGGCAATAAAAAAAAACATTTCGTTAGAAAAAATATACATTCTATATGGCAAATCTTTTATTAATATATAACCTACCACATACTAAGGGAAATATGCTCCACACATTTCTCTCAGAAATTTTATACGGAAAAACATTCCAGTATTGAAATACTCCTTCTACTGATGTCAAATAAAAGTCACAAAAAAAACCCACAAAAATTTGATCTCAGGTCGTTCAAATCATTTCATAGGATCGAAATGGTCCTAAAGAGTAATTAACTAACTAGCAATTCCGATCATCTGGGTGATAGGAGAATCCTGCCATCAAGTTGGCAACAAGTTCAAAAGTTGACAAAATGATGGCAGTTGGCGCCGACAACCATTTTGCAATTATCGGTGCTCTCTGGGTGTCTTAGTTCAAAGAATAATCAGATTCCAATTGCCCTCTGCCATTTCACCATTTGCTAGAAGTCTTTGGAAAGGAAATTGATCTTTCATATTGACCCGAGAGACCCCATCAAACTTTAATGACACTACCCTTAACATATAGTGGGCTATACATCTCACCTAGATCACATCCAGAGAGGATCCGAATTTTAAAGCCAGAATGTAAATTACGGTTTTCAGTGGTTGAAAATCTAATCACAAGTTCTGATCCATGAATATAAATCGGCATCATAGTACTGTGAGAACATCCTTCAGGATACTTTTTACTTCTGAAATGGAAAAGTACCATTAGGCTTACTATTTATTCTATCGATCGTGTGAAAATTCGTACAGAAATTACATTAAGTTCCACCAGCGAACTCTAGTTAGCTTAATTAGGCAAACCAGGTATCCTCAAAATGATGCTCACCGTGCAATGTTAGTGCTGTTCAATTTAATTATTAGGATATTTCTGTATATAGGAATATATAGTTGCCAGCCGGAACTAGGAGTATAAAAAGGATCTCGATTAATGAGTTCTTTCTAGTCGGTTCGATTTATTTACTAATTATGGCTAGTTTCTGCAGAGTTTTATAGAGATGGAAAACTACGACCAATTGTCAACATATCCCAGCTTGGATGTGAGCTAAAGTCAGAGGTTAAGAAAGAAAACCAATTGTATATATCCACACGACCATTTGTAGAGCAGTTGTAGAAGGCTCTAGTACCTCTAGATGTTTGTCTTATGAGAATATTTCACTGTTATAAGGTATGTAAATGTTTTTTCTTCTCTAGATAATCTTTTCTTCCTACTTTTTGCCATGTCATTTCCAAGCATTGATCGAATGTAGGCTATCTTATATTTTGCAGACGACCACGATGAATGGAAAACCCAAATTCAAAATTTTCTGGATTCTGAATTCTGGTGTGTGTCACAGTCCCCAGCTCAACATCTCTGCCTGCTTACAAGGCGTCAAGAGCAGACGTTCCGAAGTAGAGTTGCTAAGTGTCGCCATGAGTTTGGTGAGTAAGATTTATTATTCAATATTGAGGTAGAATCGAAATACGACAAGATAATTGTGTATGATTCGGAAATATTTTACTAATTTCAGATGCCGAGTACACGCTGGAGGCGAAATGAAGAAAAAAGAGAATTGGTGTTGAAACCTAGAATTTCAAGATTAGAAATAAATGAAATGAATGGAGTTTTACGTCCTACTTTTCTGTAGCTTGTGCCAGATTAGAAAGGTAGATGGGTGTTTGAGTAGGTTGGATGGTGTAGGAATATTTCCGACTTGTATTGAAAGGGGTATGTTATTAGACGGCGACGTACCATCACTCCTGCTATAGACATCGACCGGTGGAATGGATTAGCTACACACATTTTCTAAAACTTGTACATATTGAATTCTTTCAGGAATAATATTAAATCAATTGTGGCAATTAACTAGATTGATACTATAGCGTTTTCAATATAAAATGGCAAATCATTTCCCAAACTAGACCAATGTTGATGGTATGATTATCAAAAAATTAAAACTTACGATTGGACATCCTCAACATAAACCCAATCATCACAGCTTACAGACAAGTCTTCAAATAAGACAGCCCAAATACCAGAATCTTTACTCCATTTCCATGTGCAGTTAAAGTATGGGGGGTAAGGCTCGGGATAGTTTGGGGTAGTAATCACTTGAGGTTTCGTGTACTTGTGTATACTTTGGTATCCTAAAAGGTTTTCAAAACGAATTATGTATAATTTAACTCACTCTATGTAAGGAATTCGATACTTACACTGTGTTATAAGTACAATGTTATGGTATTATAACGAATAGCAAACACATTTGCTTTAAATTTTCTCCAATTTTCACAATTTTATCATTTAAAAAAAAAATCGAAATATCTGGAACCTTGGTATTGAAGATAAGTTTGGATAACAAATTATCCAATTATTATAAGATTTATATAATCCGTTTCAACAAATTTAAAATAGTAAGTCCAAAAAAAGAGTAGAATTATTCGCGATTAGCTTTTTGGTCAATTTGTATATACATGTAAACCAAAATAGAAGCTATGCCAGATAGTTTGACTAAGGTCCATTAACAAGCTAGTTATAAAATGGGGTCAAATTCCCAAACATGCATTATAGACTTGTAAGGAATATAACCATGCAAGAATAGAAAGTCAGAAACCAAGAGTACGTAAAATTTATAGAACTGTGAGAAAATATTCAAAGTTCGGTTTTTCCAGTCAGTGTTCTGAGTCATAAAACAGTTTAAAAAGCTCTTACCATATGTTTTAAAAATATTCAGGGAGAAACAAAATAAAACTAAGAAATACGTCTTCTCCATTTCTCAGACTTCATTTATATCCTTGTTCAAATGTTATGATTTCGAAATATGGACCTTGGGATTGTATTGTCGTTAGAAACAATATGAATCACTATATCTCTCCTTTACTGATTTCCGTTTATTGTAACTAATTCAGATCTACAGTTCCGTGATGGGTATACCGTGCTTCCGTTATGATTTAATGTATATTATCTGATATATACATATATGGTATGGCTGTTAATTATAAAATTGAATATAAAATTGCTTTTATACTTATATTTATATGCCCTTGATATTTGACGTTTCCCCAAGAATGGAAATCATTTATATTATTCGTTTAATTCGTATTTGAAAATTCAGGAGAGTAACACCTTGTCGTTGATCACATTCGATCGAATACATCACTGTTGACATAAAAGAGAAATCGGGCGATCAATTCGATGTTTGCAGATTCCTTTTATTTACTAGATAGAAAGTGAAAGGTGAGCTGATGGCAATTACGATTCTTCCAAATACATCTATAATCTGGTTGTTCTCTACTTCTGTCTATCGCAATGTCGACCCTAGCTTATTTCACATTTCAACGTTTAAGGGATTTAAGGGAATGAGTTAAAGTGGAATATGTAAAGAAGTGAAAGGAAGCACTGTTTAGTTTATGATTTTATTGATTCCTTGCATGGTTAAATAAGTTGTATATACAAAAATTCATTCTTACAACGTTATGTACAATCATTTACTAAAATGTAGGCCTATCTTGCAGATATTATTTTTTTGGGGGGTGTTCCAAATCCATTGGCTTGAAGTGGGTGATGATTTAGTCAAAATGTTTTAAAAACAGTTTTATCCTAGAACGTATATAGTATAATGTACACTTATACTATTCTATTATTATCTGTTTAAATCGACTAAATTCTTTGACTGAGTTAAGTTGAAGGATGAAGGGTTTCATGAAAGGTATTTTTAGGTAGTTGAGGAGTCTCGTACAACGAATAGTACAAAGTTGGGATAAACAATGAACACACCACCTTTCCTTTCTAGACATTTGCACTTGCTTTCCACTTGCTCATCATAAAATGGACTGTATCCATATACCTATAAGCCTATCTCACTCGGAGGCTAGAACTCAAAGCCTATCAGATCAAAGCTTTTCATGAATATATCATGACACTAAAACCTAGTGACGAGCCTTAATCCAAGTCGGCTGCGATGAACAAAGTCTTCTCAGAACGTATCGCCTTAACACATTATCTAGTTTATATGACGTCATACCAACAAGTTGTACCAAAAGTGAGAAGCTGAATATTCCCGCCAAAACATAGCAGATGACGTCAGTGTCTATTACTAGGTATATTGATGTTAGCATTGAAAACCAAACTGTATTGAGAATCACCATCGCTAAAACACAACGATTCCTTAAAATAAATAACCGATTCTGTAGCGTTTCTTTATCTTTACCAACATTAACTTCTGTGCCTAGAATAGTTGATTGAAGCGTTTCCCAGAATTGACTTTCAGATTTCAGTTTTGTTGATCCTGTATCGGCCAGCATCTGCAGGTTTTTAGGTCTAATAATGGTGACATCTGTGTTATTTTCTTCGTTTCCAGCAACTGAAAAAATAACCGAATGCCGTTACTTATAAGTTAAATACAAAGTTTTCCACCCCATCATTTGACTGTCAAATGGAAAATAATACAAATGTAACATTGCATGTCCAAACGAAAAAATAGATGTATAGAGGTGAGTCCTGTCAAAAAGTAGAGGAATGGGTGTAGAGACATATAATCTGTTTCATTCGAAATTAAGAAAACTTTGTGGTCCCGTTCTTATTTGACCCATTGATAAGTAACTTTTCTTGTATTACGTAGTTTAGGCCTACTTACCCAGTTCTTCTATGCTGCTGCAACTTTTGATCTTTTTAGTCTTCTCATTCTTTTTAGGCTGAAAGAAGAACAGTGCGTAAATTAAGTTTTTGTACAGCAACCAACGTGTAATTGTAGATTTTTCATGAAAATATGAAATTCATGATATTAGTCGTACAAATTTCGGGAACCCAGGCCTTTCATGTGACCTGTCTTAAATAAGTCCACTTCCCCGATAATATATTTTTGGTATTTTGAATAACACTTACCAGCTCACGAGTTCCCCAGGATTGATCTACAATATTAGATACAGCATAGATTGGTAGAATGATAAACATAGCAGGAAATAATACAGCGTATATTAAACCATAAATAAGATTTAACCATTCTCCGGGATGTATCAATGCAGCATAAACAACTCCACCAATCAGCAACGGTATTAGGAAATACGGCCGAAATTCAACATAACCATCACGAACATCTGGGCAACAGAGAGCAAGTACCAAATAGCACACAAATAACAGTGAAGTAAATGAAGAAAAATATTCCCATTAAAAGCATATTTATACAAAATCTGTAAACAGCATAGAGTTGTGACTATATCCAACGTTATTTCTTTACTTTACTTTGTGACCTAGGGCATTTCTTGTATGAGACTACACCGTATGTTCTCATCCAAGATCAATGTCTACAGCCCAATCTCTCAATAGGCTTGCTTTCAGGTAGAAACCACAGTGTGTTCCGATATCTGTATATGGACTGTCTTGGAACCACCCGATGACTTATTTTGCTGCTCAAAAAGGTACAAAAAGAATCACTTACCTTCCATAATGCTTATTGTCATGAAATAAACAAAACCAACACTAACAGCTATCATTAAGATTATTGATAAACATAACATAGCCCATGTTGCCCATTTCTGAATCTTCACTGATCCAACACAGCACAATACACAGTAAGCAACAAATACAATAAACGATATAGGAACCGACCAAACCAATGATAGACCAAATATGGCTTCACACGCAACAAACATGACGAGTAGGGTCGTTGAGGGTGAGATGAGGACCCACAGGAACATCTGAAGCAATGACAAGATAAAGACGGCGGAGAAGGCAGCATTGCTTCTGACAAGAGATCGAAGATTTTTAAAGATGAGGACCATGTTAGACAGCTCAGATAACACCCAACGTCGTCTTTGTCCGAGAAACTCCATAAAGGTTTCTGGACAATGGGTGGAGTTACGACAATGATCGATATACTCCAATTTCCAGCCTCTTAACATCATCAATGTACACAACCAACGATCTTCACCTGCAAAAACAACCCCATTGTTAAAGAAATATTTTCATGACTTTTTACACAAATACATAGAAGAAATAATCTTTCCACCAAAATGTTCACCAAAAAAAGCTCAAAATGAAATTGAGTTTTACGCCCTAGTTTTCTGGAACCTGATTAGGATTATAAAGATGGTTCATAAAGGTAAACAGGAAGTAACATTGTATAATAAACTTCCTTCTGTTCTTATTACATGTAGTCCGATTTTCAATTTGTATTTTTACCAGAACGTCCAGTTTTAACCCTGCTTTCAGAGGGAATGTGTCGTAATCGACTATCCAATATTTAAACATACCATGATCTTTGACGAGTGCATCAAAAGCAGAATTGCTGGGTTCCTGAAAAGTTGGCAGAACATCAGCAAGAGCCTTAGCTCGATACAAACTAAAACAACCAGGGCAACAAGTTACTGATCCAATAATATTTTGGGATGCTTTAACTAACCAAAAATCTGAAAAACATAAGAGAGAAAGTATTCTTAACATTTAGAAATATAAGAATAAGAAACCTGAAAACAACCTGTTATGAAAAACCTTCATAAATACTTCCCCCTTTTAACAAGCACTGTTGCTTACATTTACCTATAATTTTCAGAATCCATAGCCCGAACATTGCCATATATAATTCTCACCTTTAGCGTATTCAAATTTTTGGTACCAGACCATGGGCTTTTGTTGACCAATTGGTATAGTTCTTCCGCAAGCAGCTCCCAATGAATGATCTCTTTCACAAAGCTCTACTAGGGCACTGACACTTTTGGCGTTAAACTCAGTATCGGCATCAGTAGCAAGTATGTAAACTGGTTCTTCTAGCTTTTCACATGTAACAGTGAATACATCTTTATGACTCTCCTTTGCCACTATGTCCATTCTCTCACCATTCGGTAGAAAAACAGCTTTACGTTTAGACCATTCTAACTTATGTTTCTCCATACCATGATGAATATTATTAAGATTGGCTCCAAGGACATGTCTCTTGGCCTCTCTTGATCCTGAAACTCCAAGCTGGTTTCTATTGCGCCCCGGATACGTCTTAAATAGAAAGAGTTCCGAATCATCACTATCTGTACTCTCACTGTTTTGACAGGAATTATTGCTCTCTCTAGAGACAGTATAAGCATCAGATCCACTTGTTGACGATTCCTCGCTACCACTGTCTTCATCCTCGGCTCGGGTGATGATAATCTGCTCAGGATTAATCGATCTTAAGACACCATGTGCAGTAGGATTTTGTCCAGTGATGAAACCCGTATTGGTGGACTTGTAGCTTTCCAATACAACCTCTTTATCATCATAAACAAAATCTTTGACGCGACCAGCTTCATCCAGTTCATATGAGCACCTGTACCTCAGAATGTAGTTCATATACATCACTTGACTCCAGCGCTTTTTAACTTTGAATTTAGATCCATCTTTGACATGGACATACACGGGAAAGTCTGCTTTAGGATGCGACAATATTTGGCAGCCGTATGGAGTACGATAAGCTACTAGACTAGATAAAGTGATGTTGAAGGTGTCCACAAGAAGTGATAGTAGTTGACAGGCATATGAATTTAGACTGTCCAGCTCCATGGCATTGTCCAGAAATATATGAGATTCCACTTTGATGTCTTTCAATTTTTCGGATGAGAGTAGTTTTTGGAGGCTGATCAGATATCGAGACATTTCAGCTTTATTTTCTCTAAACATGGTGGTACAGATAAACACGTGTTTATAACCCGACTTCCGGTTTTCTGTATGTAGACCAGATGAAATAGATCCAATTCCATGATGGTTGTAATTTAGGATTAACGACTGTTCCAAGAACATTTGATTCCAGCTAAAGTTAAAGAAATTCTCCGAAAACGGTCTTAGAAGAGAACTTGGTGCTTTGATAATCTCAATCCCTGGAACGACAAACGGAATCAGCCAAATGCAGATAGATAGTGCGGAAGCAGTCCATGATAAAACGTCACTTCCGGATAATTCCCAGATTGCATCGGTGGACACATCTCCCCAAAGGATAATTGTAACCCCGAATGTAACTAATGGTGATAATAAAGCTGGTAGTCGAACCCCGGGAGTAGTAAGTGACACTTTACACGAGGCATCCGTTAATAGCAACGCCACAACACCACAGAAGAAAGCAATAGCGACTGGTAACCAAACCCTGTAGTCATTGGAATGAGTGAAACCTTTCAATAAAAATTCACCCATATCATTTCTGAAGATCTTCATTTTGAAAGCCATGAATCCAAGCAATGTTACAGGAATCGTGCATAGCTTTATTATTGTGTAGCTTAAGGAGGCAATCAGGTTTCGTTTAGACTGTTTGGATGAACAGATTGAGAGTTTTTGGATCTTTCTTGTCCAAGATGTGGACAGAATCAATAAGACTATAGGTAAAGCGATACACTGTTGTAAATGCATGTTAAAAGGAGACCACAGAAATATTATAACAGAGATTGCAGCTGGTGCCCAAATATTAAAACAGCTTAGAATCACACCGATACAGAAAATAAATCCTGTACATATCTTCCTCTCCGCTTTAACCTTGGATTTCACCTGAAAAAGAAAAGACACATACACACACACTTCGAAGCAAAGATCGTAGACCAGTTTTCATGGAAGAAATCTTATTTCCTTTTTTCTGACCTTCAATAATCAGCGTTTTGTAGATAGCCTGATAAGTTTTGAGATGTGTATTCTCCGAAAGGTATTCTCTGGAAGGATGCGCATATCACGTATTGGATCTTTAACATAGAATTTGATTATAGTGTTTTTTACCTTAAGTTTCTTAGAGGTACTAACTATCACAGTAATGGTATAAACAGCCCCTGGTATGCACAGAAGTACTGGCTCGGGAAGTACCACTGAAATTTCACTAGCAAATATAGATACTGCAATACCTTCCATAACACTGCTTACTAATCCCTGGAATTTTGAAATGACTCATTATTGGAGGGATTGGATAATTACCTGACACTTTGATTATACTATACTTCACTTCACAATTATAATACACTATGAAAAGGGAAAAAGGAAATCATTAGATGTAATGCACTAATGATTCTGGCAAAGATGATTTTGTGTTATGAAGATATCAGTGGACATAAATGATCATTACACGAAATACTTTACACTTACAAGATAAAGCTGAGCTGGTCGTGGTAATTCTTCTTTTCTGGCAGAGCTAATAAATGGTGTATTCCATAAAATATAGAAGAGATTACAGAGATGTGGAAGTTCTAGTAAAATACACACTATAATATACCTAAAAATAAAAAAAACAACAATTTTTCAGCATTTGTTCTTACCTGATGTTATACGGTGAGAGCTATGGCATTCTTAACTTCAACTTTTGCATATTTTTCATATGAGCTCTTGGCTTTTAATATAGATATATCCACTTGTGCAATTGTAGCTTTAATCAATTGGTTTCTATTAGCTACTTTTGATCTTCTTTGCTGTAGCTACAGCATCAAAGGCTTCATTCTTCCAAACGTCTCGACAATCCATTTATCAAATTGTTTGCGGAACGAAAAAATCCTTACCAGGTAGCTGGATGTATTTGTTCGTATTTATAAAGTCTTAACAACCATAACAAACAAACTTTAGCCGAGACCAAAACACCAATCATTGCCAGGAACAACCAGACTGAAACTGCCGACTGAAACAAAAATGATATCAAAAGTGTTGACATTAATAAGTGGAATAATTCAGTTGGAAGCGAGTTGAATTGACGTCGATTAATTTTGGTGAGACTGAACGCTGCCCTTTAAGGTAATTATTCTAATTCCACGGCAAGTGCTTTCGTTCCAGTAACTGAATCTTGTTTTACTTACCAGCCATTTTATATTGTGGCCCACACCACCGGCCATTTCTTTTACCACTTGATGTCAGTGGGCAGTCACCTAAAATAGAATCTGAAGTTTGAAAAAGATAAATTAGTTGACAATATATATTGTATTTGTCTTTGCCTCTTATATAGTTTGTTATTTATGTGTAGTTGTTGTGAAGTTCTTTGTTATCCATAATCAACTCCTGAACGAACGTTCAGAATGAATGCTTACTATTTTCGAAACACCTGATGGTTCTTCTCTTCCCTTGAGGAGGTTACTACCATACAACGTTTACTCTCGATTTTGCCATTCTTTGGTTTTATTCAGGAATGAACAAAAGAATGAGATAGCGACTCTTAGCGTGTTTACTATTTTAACTATAAATCTATCTTAGTCGCTATCATTGCTCTCAAACTTGCAGTTCAAATATTCAACTCTGCTATTTTGTTATTTTGACATTTTCTTTTCCTAATCTAAGTGCATCTTGAAGAGGATTTTTTTACGTTCTTAAACTTTGTTTTTCTTAAAGAGGAGGCCAAACTTGGTTACATAGATGCTTTTCCGGTATGATCCTCCGAAAAAGGGGCAGAAGTGAAGCATCATTAATATGGCCTTTGTATTTTAATGTTGGCTCTTTTATAGCTTTGCAGAATTTCCATATCCTGGATCAAAGATGATAGAAAAAAATGACACAGTATGTTTTTCCATCAAGATAGAGCGGCGGCTATCGGAATCTCGGTTGATTGGTCACGTCAATAAAGTATCATCAGCAAATTTTTCTGATTCATAACAAAATGCCTATCAGATTCCTTTGCCGCTGGTGTGACTAATTGATTCTCTTTGAGCTGTTTTGGACGAACAGAACGAATTAAATACCTCTTTGGACATAGATTCGCTGCTTTATGAGGTTATTGGCCCTTTGGACACGATTCAATGAATTCGATTACGAGACTTATTGTTGACAATGAGATTAGGTGACAAAAATGCTAAAATATATCTTTAAATGTATCCATAAAAATACAACTCAGCAAGTTGCCTAATTTGATGGGAAGTGAAAAGATGACGTTTGTCAAAGGTCATTGACTTGATGACAATGAATGTAAAAAACATTAAAGACCACCTCAATGAAAATGGCTGGCCCAATTCCAATGTTAATATCGTCTATCAACTGTTACACCTACAATACCACCTGATTTCTCTAAAAATTATCTCCAAGTTTATAATTTAATGCATATATTACTCTATATTTTACGAAGTTCGAAACATCATCTTCAATGGTCATGGTTGGCTATTAGGACGTTGTGGATTTTTAATTTTGAATAGGTACCTCTTTTTTTCATCACATTTTGTGTTAATGCACCCTTGCATCACCCTTATATGGCAAATCGTATGTTTATTTCCAAGTTATCTAAGAAAATAGCATGTGCATTCGAGCGATTGGTTTACGACTTAAACGAATAAGCTTTGTCATTAACTTTCTGTGGTAAAAATAAGTGTGAACTTAAACAAAACAGATAAAAAACCTAGTTTTATTCTTTAAGTTAAGATTCTTGTTCTTATCTTAATTCTTTTGATTTGTTAACAAGCCAGCGTTAAGTGAAAGTTCTAAGTCAATAGTAAATATCTAAAGGTAAAGTTTAAACTGTCATTATTATGGTCGGATAGTTGACAAGGCTACGTGGTACCTCAGTGTTCTAGTATGTCTAGTACTCGTCACTAAGTAGCAGTTAAATATCTACTTATCTTTGATGTTACTCAACAATTTTTTTACTGTGCCCTTATATTTTTTTCTATCAGGATGGAGCGATGGTAACTCTTGTTTACTTCGGATAACTTCATTAAGAGTTATGACACTTGCTAAATGTTTATTTCGTATGTATTTAATGTTCTAACACACTGCATGCAACCTGTAAATATATACCATACTACCCCTGAATATCGTGGTTATGTTAAATTTCTACCAAAATAGCGAGAATCTTAAGAGGTTAACAAAATTTCACGACATGAAAATGTTTGAATTACTAAACGAAGAAATATTTTTAACGAACTGGAGTTGTTAACTACAAATAAAAGAATTCTTTGATATACCTTATCGGGCAATAACTACTTTTGATCATTCTAAGAAGCAGCTGATGAACAAGATTTGTCTCCCAGGTCTCCTCAGTCTAGAAGCCAAGCTCTTTAAAGCAGCTTTGGAATTATTTTACAGCGCAATTTTGCGAGACGGTCAACACTATTCTTGTCTATTCCCACAGAAGGCCTACACGTGGTTTTAATGACAAACCGGAAGTACCTTTTACTGAAGAGTTGAAGATCATATTTCCGCTCAGATAGATTCATTTAAGTCACATCTTACTCCTTATTCCTAAAGCAATTCATCGATTCACTGTCGGGAAAGCATAACGTCAGAGACGGACGAAGGGCATTGCAATAAACATTCCAAAATTGGCTATCTGCACCGTGTAGGCTAATAACTGTTACACTTGGTGGCTCTAATTGGTTTGTTATATCGCATAATTGTGTGAAGGTTTCATTTCATCGTTGTTGCGTGCATAGGGACAGTAATAGCAGAATGTAAATATTAACTTTCAATTGTTGCTTGTGTAGACTTATTCGTGATGTTTTAACATATTGACCCTATGTTTGCTTTGACGTAAAATATAGAGATGAAATAATTCCTATCATTATTGACATGGTTACACCCCCACAACACTAACATATTTTCTCTATTCATCATTTTCTACTCGCCGTCTGCTACCTTCTGCGGAAGTCATCAAATATCAAACTTATTTCAAGAAAGATGTACACATAAAAAAGGTTACGTCAATTTCAGATTGTTAGAAG